TCAAATGAAATGTAAAGGTTATTTGGAGGTTTTTGAAATATGTTTTAAAATAACATTCTTAGAACATTATTTGAACGTTACTAATATTTTCTTGTGTTTTTTTATGGAAAGTTTTCTTAATGTTCTGAGAACATGACATTAAATGAGGAAACCTGCAGAAAACATTATGCTGAAGTACTTACATCCCCACAGAAGAATGTTGTTTCTTAACATTCTCTGAACTATTTGAGAACATTCCCAATGTCAAACCAGTTGGAGAACGTTCCTAGAACATTACCAAAAATGTAATTAAATATAACCATGTTTGAACTTTTAGAAAATGTTCTGTTAAAGTAATGAAACACCAAGGAAAATAATTATATTTTGTCAACTTCCTTAAATGTGCTGAGAATGTTCCAAAGCCAACCAACTATCCTGCACCATTCCCAGAACGTTGTGGGAAGGTTGTATGCAAAATAACCATAGGACAACCACGCTCTCACCAAGGTCTAAGAAACATATGGTTCTCAGAACATTATGTGCTAGTTGGGTAGCTAACCAGCCATGTTAAACAATGGAGAAGGCTTGCTAGCTAACGTCAGCTTCATAAATGTTATTGTAAGTTGAGCCACTTTTAACATTCAGCATCACTCCGTCAAGAGAAATATAGTATTCTTTCTAACAAACATATCTACATATATTTCAGGATGTTGCGTATCCCTGGGAATAATCAGAATTCATGTAAACATTACAGTTTTGAAAACATAGCTTGTCCCAAAAAAGTGGTCTCTTGGCACAACTTACCCCATACCCGGGTAAGTTGAGCTTGGGGTCAGGGTAAGTTGAGCTGCTTACACATTTCTGTACTGAATGAAATATTACCACTATCTTTTTAAAACCATGTCTATCTGTATTTCCTAAACCCAATTAAACACAATCACAATAACTTGTTTGTCTTTTATTCATTTTAAGCATATTTTAACCAAACAAACACTTAATATACAAGGGGCACTAAAAACGCAAAATGCTAACAAAATTTGCATGAACTAAAAGCAAATTCCAATAAAGGCTCCTAGCTAAATATGCTAATGAGCGCAAATTAAAAATAAACTAATTCCAAAGACAGGCAATCCAGCTCATAAAGTTATACAAGTATAGGTAGTAGCTACTGAATGTCATTTTTGGTGAGTTTTGACATTTACAAGTGAACGTGAACAAAAAACATTGTGCAAATGAAACAAGTTTTGACGCATGCTTGTCTGAAGGAAGAACAGTACTGGCTATGGAGCAGCATGTGTACACGCTGTGTCTGTGTTGTGTCCGGAGTCGCTAGGGCAACGGCCTGCCTTCTTTGCCCAGAGAATAAGGAGGAGGAACTGACGGGCCGAGAACGGAGAGGAGAAAAAATAAACGTAAGGAAATCAAGAAAAAAGCAGTGGCAACTGTACAGATAACTCATCCAAAGTGCTTTGACTTCTCAAACACAGCGGAAAGCTAACACTATATGATGCTTATTCATTCAACCACTTACTTAGCTAACTATAAAGTTTATCCAAATACACAGCTTTCTCTCATTGTGCTATTTACAAACAAACACGTGAGTGGCTCAACAGTTCTGGGGAACTACGGTAAGCTTCATAATGTAAAATAATGTGACAGGTGAAATGAAGAACGAAATATGCTTTGTCTCCTAACATATTGCACAAGTTGACTGCTGGTATTAACTTAAAAACTAGTTTGAAATATTACAATTTATACAAAAACTTCAAATAAATAGTTTTCATGGTACTGACGGTATTGAAAAGCCATCCCGTGGCTTTTTCCAAATACCACGGTATGCTGTATATACGGTATACTGCCCAAGCCTAATTTTGACTATATTAGACCACACAGCTACAAGGATGCACGTTCAAATCAAATCAAATCAAATTGTATTTGTCACATGCGCCGAATACAACAGGTCTAGAACTTACAGTGAAGCTTACTCACAAGCCCTTAACCAACAATGAAATGTCAAGAAAGAATACCAAAAAAACAATAAATAAATAAATAATAAGAAATAAAAGTAACAAATAATTAAAGAGCAGCAGTAAAATAACAGTAGCGAGGCTATATACAGGGGGTACGGGTACAGAGTCAATGTGCGGGGGCACAGGTTAGTCCAGATAATTGAGGTAATAGGTACATGTAGGTAGAGTTATTAAAGTGGCGTGCGGTAGCAGAGAGAATAGTCTGTGACTAGGGTGGCTGGAGTCTTTGACAATTTTTAGGGCCTTCCTCTGTTACAGGAGTGGGTCGCAGTTCCGGAGCAACCCACTAGGTGTCATCCTCCGACAACCATAGGCACCTCCTCACTCACAGTCGGGACTAATTATCTGCCTATTGGTGTCACCTGTGGCTATCTGATTCACCTGTGTATTTATGCCCTCACTTCCCTGTGTTCCCTTGCTCAGTTTTCTCTGCTAGTTCCTTGATGTCAAGCAGTACATATCAGTGTCGGATCACGTGACGGAGTTACAGGTACTCGAGAAGTGTTCTCACTGTGTCATTGTGTTTTTCCAGTCAGAGTTAGTATTTCGTATATTGTTTGTTGTCAACCAGTTTTTTGGAGACCTATGTGCTCCTCATTTGTTTTCGTGTATGGTCCGTTGATTTGTATCATGGCTTTTGGACCACCAGTAAAGATCCTTGTTTCACCATCCTTGCCTACTGCCTACTCTCTATCCTGCACCGCACCTGGGTCACACCTCAAACCAACCCTTACATCCTCTGACACCGCCTGGTATAGAGGTCCTGGATGGCAGGAAGCTTGGCCCCAGTGATGTACTGGGCCGTACGCACTACCCTCTGTAGTGCCTTGCGGTCGGAGGCCGAGCAGTTGCCATACCAGGCAGTGATGCAACCAGTCAGGATGCTCTTGATGGTGCAGCTGTAGAACCTTTTGAGGATCTGAGGACCCATGCCAAAACATTTCAGCCTCCTGAGGGGGAAGAGGCATTGTCGTGCCCTCTTCACGACTGTCTTGGTGTGCTTGGACCATGTTAGTTTGTTGGTGATGTGGACAACAAGGAACTTGAATCTCTCAACCTGCTCCACTACAGCCCTGTCGATGAAAATGGGGGAGTGCTCGGTCCTCTTCTTTTTCCTGTAGTCCACAATCATCTTCTTTGTCTTGATCATGTTGAGGGAGAGGTTGTTGCCTGGCACCACACGGCCAGGTCTCTGACCTCCTCCCTTTAGGCTGTCTCGTCGTTGTCGGTGATCAGCCTATCACTGTTGTGTCATCGGCAATCTTAATTATGGTATTGGAGTCGTGCCTGGCCATGCAGTCATGAGTGAAAAGGGAGCACTGGAGGGGACTGAGCACGCACCCCTGAGGGGCCCACGTGTTGAGGATCAGCGTATCGGATGTGTTGTTACCTACCCGGATGTGTTGTTACCTACTTTCATGCTAGATTTAGGACATTGTATTGCAGCTTATAGAGACCCCAACTGATGTATAGAACAATCTTTAAATGATCTACTTTGGTGAAACCTCTAACACAATAAATTAATTTCACTTGGTGAAAATCTGTTTTTTTTACTTAACTCGCTTACCACCTTTTCCATGTGGTTTCTTACTTCACAGAAATGATGATCTCTTCCTAAATATTTGGTAAAATTATTAATTTTGTGTATGGTTTCCTAGAAACAAGGGGTGGCTCAACTTACCCTTTGGCTCAACTTATCCCACTCTCTTCTTCTTGAAAACATTTTTATTTTTGGGGGTTTTCTCATCAGAGCTTTGCGTAGCGTTCAAACTCTGTGCACGATATTTACTAGTTTTGACAAATTTGATTAAAATATAGCAACATCTCCTCCCTGGGAATGCATGTGTGTCAACACACCAGAAATTGGAAGCTCATTGGACTAGGTTGTGCATATAGTCCACATACCATAGCCTTAAATGCATGCATGCAATCTTATTCAGCTAACAGTGCTGTTTTATACTCTAGGCCGGGGGTTAAAACAAAAACGAAAATCTACTTGATCTATATTGTTAAATAAAAATTTTACATTTAGAAGTATATTAGCATAATGTACAGGCCTATTTGATGTGATACAATATTCATCTGATTAAAGAATATATTCAGAGGCTTCAAGCAGGGAAAATATATTAAAGTATTTTTTTAAAGTACATTTGGAAATCTAAACCATGACCACCATTAATGAGCTAACTTTCTGCAAGAATTATGAAAACACAGCAACATGCTTGGATAACTTTATATTGATATCTAATGTTAATGTGAATCTATAGTGGGGATAAATAAGAATCCATTATCTTTAGCCAGAGAGATGGATGATTCTCTCATGTGAATGGTTCATTCATTGCTTGACAACCCTGAATAATGTAACAAAGAGGGTTTGACGGAATGAATCCCCAATAGATCAGACGTTTTATCCCTGAGAAATGTGATTAGCGGAGTCTATATTGTCTAACTCAATACATGTCTGTTAGACCATCTGTAGTCACAGACGAGGGATTCTAAAGCTTATTCTACAACCTTGTGGTAGCAGAACATAGGCCCTTTATTGATGGCACAGAGCATGGGCTCACATTGTTATGTCTTGTAGTAATAAAAAGCTTACTCTAAAGTATTGTAGTAACAGAGCAGAGACCCTTATGCTGAAGCGTTCCAGCTACAGAATATGTATTTTTATTGTAAAGCTTAGCCCTCCCAGAGGACCAGACTGTGCCACTGGTGTTCAGCTAAAGTCCTTCTCCTCCTGACCCTACAGATTATGAGGGCACTACACTAGAGCGTACATGCGTACATACACACACACACACACAAACACACACACACACACTCTGAAGGGCATCTGTCCCTTCAGGGTAATTATGGACACACTTCTATTTCATTTTTAAGCACAATCAATTTGTATAATTAATTTGCATAATTAAACTCTATCATTGATCTCTTTGTTTATGATGTCCTGGTATATAAGTTGACTTGCATTTAACTTCAAGTAGGTTTGAGTTATGGATAGGCCACTTTGTCACAGATCCAGAAGCGCAATTCGCTGCATTGTGTATCACACCAGCTATCCTCTGGGTTAGAAAAAGAGGTCCATCGCTCTACACAGTCCTCATCCTTGCCCTGATAACTGTGAGGCTCCCCTCTCATCCAGTACCCTGTGGTCAGTGGAGTGCCGTCCACCCATTTCCAGGTCCCTTCTTTGTCTCTGTCAGTTAGACCAATCCAGAATCCCTTGTTGATTAATTTATGGATAAATACCTGTTCCTCTCTGCTGTTTATGATCACCAGGTCTGCTCCTCTACTTAGACAGTTCTGTCGACTCTCCTTCCATGATTTAGTCCCATTAGAGATGTGGTACAAACTGCAGCTGAAATACCTCCATCCCAGTTGAGACTGTTGCTTAAGCACAGAGAGTTTTGTGTCACGCCCTGACTCTGGGGACTCTTATTTGTTGAGTCAGGGTGTGATTTTCTATGTTGTGTTGTTCTAGGTTCTAGGTTCTAGTATGGGTATTTCTATGTTGGCCGGTGTGGTTCCCAATCAGAGGCAGCTGTCGCTCGTTGTCTCTGATTGGGGACCATACTTAGGCAGCCTATTGGAACTAGTGGGTTGTGGGATCTTGTTCCGTGTGAGGTATGTTGTTTGTGTACCTTGGACTTCACGTGTCGTTGGTTTGTTGTTTTTGTCGTGTGTTTATTCGGTTCAAATAAACATGTATGCATATCACGCTGCGCCTTGGTCTGACCCGTTCATCAACGAGCGTGACATTTTGTCTGGAGATGGTCCCTCTCTTCAGTCATGGCGTTGTTACTGCTCTGTAACTGGTCTCTCTCTGCTGCGAAGTTGGTTTTACAGTTTTTCTCATAATTGCCAAGAACACCATTATAGTAGAGACACAGGCCTATGATCCCAGCCAGTAGGAGAACACACAGCAGCCCCAGACAGACTGTAGCAGCTCTGGAGGTACTCCTTTTCGAGGGGACATCATCTATCTTGTTTCTGAAGTCATGAGATGTGATGGTGTCTTGATTGGCATGGATATCAGCAGACATCTTCATTATCTACCACTGTCTCAGTGATTCTACCTGACAGACTGAACAGTGCTCTAGCTGTATGGTGTGTCTGGGACTGTTTCCTGTCCATTGGTGGTTAGTGACTAAAATGTTTCCTTTCCACACACATTTCCGCAAGTTGACGTTTATTGTCATGAGTCTTGTCCTTGAGGCAGACCTGAGTGATTTCTAAAGGTAAAAGTCAAAAATTGTCTATAATGTAAAATATCATTACGGTCTTAATTTAAGGTTAGGCATAAGGGTTATCAGTGAGGTTAGGGTTAAGTTTAAAATCCAATGTTATGACTTTGTGGCTGCGCCAGCTAGTGACCACTCCAGAATAAGATTAATGTCGAAAAAACACTAACCTGCTACATTTCCTGGTAGAAAGTGAGGCACGTGTTAACCACCAATGCACACCAACGCACTGGAAACTGTCGTACGAGGAAGACAATGACAAACTATGAGTTTGATTGACTATTAATAAGGTGTCTGTGTAAATGAAGGTACCATTGTAATAACCTATGTTTATGCTAAACCTAAGGGACCATTGTAATAGTTCATTCACAGTCTAGTGGAGGCCCAACAGTGACACTGTGTTGAGTGTTTATAGCAGGAAGGAGTGATGGGGTAGGAGCACACACACTTCAGCACGATGTGATCACTCACACATACACACACACTTCAGCACGCTGTGATCACTCACACACACACACTTCAGCACGCTGTGATCACTCACTTCACACCTGAACTAAGGACATCAGCAGCACAGTAGCAAAGTTCATCTCAATACAGGGTAACAATAGTTTTTTTTAAACTGATCTTAACTTTTTGGGTAAAGAAAATGCGAATTGGAGTGGGTCCAGGGTGTCTGGGATGATAGTGTTGATGTGAGCCATGACTAGTCTTTCAAAGCATTTCATTTCTACAGATGTGAGTGCTATGGGGCGATAGTCACTTAGACAGGTTACCTTGGTGTTCTTGGGCATAGGGACTATGGTGGTCTGCTTGAGACATGTAGGTATTACAGACTGGGTCAGGGAGAGGTTGAAAATGTCAGTGAATACACTTGCCAGCTGGTCAACGCATTCTCTGAGTATGCGTCCTGGTAATCCATCTGGCCCTGCAGCCTTGTGAATGTTAATCACGCAGTCGTCCGGAAGCAGCTGGTGCACTCATGCATGGTTCAGTGTTGCTTGCCTCGAAGCGAGCATAGAAGGCATTTAGCTCATCTGGTAGGCTTGCGTCACTGGGCAGCTCGCGGCTGGGTTTCCCTTTGTAATCAATGATAGTTTGCAAGCCCTGCCACAGCTGACGAGTGTCAGAGCTGGTGTAGTAGGATTCGATCTTGGTCATGTATTGACGCTTTGCTGTTTGATGGTTCGTCGGAGGGTATAGTGGGATTTCTTATAAGCGTCCGGATTAGTGTCCCGCTCCTTGAAAGAGGCAGCTCTAGCCTTTAGCTCAGTGCAGATGTTGCTCAGTGTGGATATTGCTCAGTGCGGATGCTGCTCAGTGCGGATGTTGCAGATGTACACCTCTTGTTTACGAAGCATTTGACAAATAAAATTGTATTTGATTTTGATTTGACAATTACACACACACACACACACACACACACACACAACATCCCTAGCTTCTCCGCTTCGTAGGGGATCTGTAGGGCATCTGTCCTCTTTCTCTTCAGGCCCATGTAATTATGGACAGACACTCTCATACAGCCACTGCCTTTAGAAGTCTCTTTTGCTGACTGAGATATGAGGAGGCAGAGAGAGACGCAGGTTGCCATTTATTGGGCTGACTCATGTACTGAAGGCAGCTCTGCAGGTTAGTCACTTGATGGCACAGCGACAAAGTCTTAAAATCTGATTGTAAACCTAACCCTAACCTTAACCCTAACCTTAACCACACTGCTAACCTTATGCCTAACCCTAACCTTAAATTAAGACCAAAAAGCAAATACGTATAGCACATTTTGACTTTGCAGCTGGCCCATCTAGTGTAAATCGCTCAGCTTTGTCTCCAGGACAAGATTCATCCCAAAAAAACATCAACCTGCGAGAGAAAAGGAGACAGATAGAGGGGGGCTGAATGGAGACGCACATTAACACGCTCCTAGCCAGAGAGAGAGAGGGGGGCTGGATGGAGATGCACATTACCACGCTCCTAGCCAGAGAGAGAGAGGGGGGCTGGATGGAGATGCACATTAACACGCTCCTAGCCAGAGAGAGAGAGGGGGGCTGGATGGAGACGCACATTAACACGCTCCTAGCCAGAGAGAGAGAGGGGGTCTGGATGGAGATGCACATTGACACGCTCCTAGCCAGAGAGAGAGAGAGGGGCTGGATGGAGATGCACATTAACATGCTCCTAGCCAGAGAGGGAGAGGGGGGCTGGATGGAGATGCACATTAACACGCTCCTAGCCAGAGAGAGAGAGAGGGGCTGGATGGAGATGCACATTAACACGCTCCTAGTCAGAGAGAGAGAGGGGGGCTGGATGGAGATGCACATTAACACGCTCCTAGCCAGAGAGAGAAAGAGGGGCTGGATGGAGATGCACATTGACACGCTCCTAGCCAGAGAGAGAGAGAAAGAAAGAGAGCGAGTCTGCGGGGCGTGTTTGAGAAAATACTGTTCTGCAGGGCTGTTGTGATTCAGATCAAGGTCAGTGTGAGGGGCTATATAGTGTCAGGGTAGGCTGGAGGTCCTGCTCACTGTGATGGCCACCATATGAAGCCTGCTGCCCTGCTGCCCTGTGGATGACAGGGCCACTGTCACACCCTGGCTCTGGGACTCTATTTGTTGAGCCAGGGTGTGTTTATTCTATGTGTTTATTTCTATGTTGGGGGTTCTAGTTTGTTGATTTCTATGTTTGCCTGAGTGACTCCCAATCAGAGGCAACGAGTGTCAGCTGTTGGCTGGTTGTCTCTGATTGGGAGCCATATTTAAACGGTCTGTTTTCCCTTTGTGTTTGTGGGTTTTTGTTCCGTGTTCGGTCATTGATACCGTTGGACGTCACGAGTCGTTTCTTGTTTTGTATTGAGTTTAAACTTTAACTAATTAAAGTATGTTTGTTCATCACGCTGCGCCTTGGTCTGTTCCATATGACGATCGTGACAGAAAAACCCACCATACCAGGACCAAGCAGCGTGTCCAGGAACAGGCAGCCTGGACATGGGAGGAGATATTGGACGGGAAAGGGTCCTGGACCTGGGAGGAAATCCTGGCCGGGATGGATCGCCGGCCATGGAGTGAGACGGTGGAGAGGCGACGGAGAGAGGAGCAGCGGCGTCAGCAGGGTCAACGTCGGACAGGCGAGAGGCAACCCCAGAAAATGTTTAGGGGGGGGCACACGGCATGGACGACGGGGCTGACGGAGGCAAAAAAGGGGCGGATTCTGGAGGCCACCAGGTTACGGATACACCGCCCTGTACGTCCTGTGCGGATGCCTCACACAGAGTGTGTGAGGGTAGGCATTCAGCCAGGACGGGTTGTGGCCGCTCTTCACTCCAGGGCTCCTATCCGTCTCCACAGCCCGGTTCGGCCTGTCCCTGCTCCACGCACCAAGCCTACGGTGTGCGTCGCCAGCCCGGTCCGGCCAGTCCCTGCTCCACGCACCAAGGCTACGGTGTGCGTCGCCAGCCCGGTCCGGCCTGTCCCTGCTCCACGCACCAAGCCTACGGTGTGCGTCGCCAGCCCAGTCCGGCCAGTCCCTGCTCCACGCACCAAGCCTACGGTGTGCGTCGACAGCCCAGCCCGGCCTGTCCCTGCTCCACGCACCAAGCCTACGGTGTGCGTCGACAGCCCAGCCCGGCCTGTCCCTGCTCCACGCACCAAGTATACGGTGCGCGTCGCCAGCCCGGCCCGGCCTGTTCCTGCCACTCGCACCAAGTATACGGTGCGCGTCGCCAGCCCGGCCCGGCCTGTTCCTGCCACTCGCACCAAGTATACGGTGCGCGTCGCCAGCCCGGCCCGGCCTGTTCCTGCCACTCGCACCAAGTATACGGTGCGCGTCGCCAGCCCGGCCCGGCCTGTTCCTGCCACTCGCACCAAGTCTACGGTGCGCGTCGCCAGCCCGGCCCAGCCTGTTCCTGCCACTCGCACCAAGCCAGGGGTGTGAGTCGTCAGCCTGGTAAGGCCCGTCCCTCCTCCACGCACCAAGCCAGGGGTGCGAGTCGTCAGCCTGGTAAGGCCCGTCCCTCCTCCACGCACCAAGCCAGGGGTGCGCGTCGTCAGCCTGGTAAGGCCCGTTCCTCCTCCACGCACCAAGCCAGGGGTGCGCGTCGTCAGTCCAGCACAACCCGTGCCTGGGTCACCGGTGCCTGGTAAGGTACCGGTCAACTGCTCCACTATGGAGCTGAAGCTAACCGCTCCTGCTAAGTCCAGTTCGGCTCCAGCCGGCGGGGCCAGACTGGACCAGGGGCGCTATGGGGGGTGTATTGGAGGGTGGTGGTCAAGGCCGGAGCCAGAACCGCCGCCGAGGAGGTATGCCCGCCCAGCCCTCCCCTGTTTTGTTTAGTTGAGGCGCGGTCGCAGTCCGCGCCTTTAGGGGGGGGTACTGTCACACCCTGGCTCTGGGACTCATTATGTTGAGCCAGGGTGTGTTCATTCTATGTGTGTATTTCTATGTTGGGGGTTCTAGTTTGTTGATTTCTATGTTTGCCTGAGTGACTCCCAATCAGAGGCAACGAGTGTCAGCTGTTGGCTGGTTGTCTCTGATTGGGAGCCATATTTAAACTGTCTGTTTTCCCTTTGTGTTTGTGGGTTTTTGTTCCGTGTTCGGTCATTGATACCGTGGACTTCACGAGTCGTTTCTTGTTTTGTATTGTGTTTACACTTTAACTAATTAAAGTATGTTCGTTCATCACGCTGCGCCTTGGTCTACTCCTTACGACGATCGTGACAGCCACTGACTCACCAGGCTCCTTTAACCCTCACCTCACACATACGCACACTTGGAGGATCTTTTTTGCTCCAGTTTGCTACAGCAGGAAAATAATCCTG